TTTTTTTTTTTTTTTTTGGTACCGGGCATTGAACTTGGGTCCTTGTGCTTGCGCAGCAGGTGGCGAAACCACTGGGCTAAATCCCCGGCCCCATAGACTCTTTTAGTATTTGATTTTTGTGGTGCTGGGGATTGAACCTGGCCTTGAGTGTGCTAGGCAAGTGCTCTACCCCTGAGCTACATCCTAGGCCTCAATATTTTAATTATATGAGATTTTAGTCTAGGAACCATGTTTGTTTATTTGTTTGTTTTTTGTACTGGGGATCGAATTCTGGACCTTGCTCTTGCAAGACAGGTGCTGGAACCACTGAGCCAAATCCTCGGCCTATATTTGCTTTTAAAACTTGTATTTTGGTTTATAGTTAGGACCTCAGGCAAGAAATGGTTAGTTTTTAGGTGGATTTTGTTTTTGGCTTGCTATAAACATTCTTCATGCAGGGTTGGGGATTTAGCTCAGTGGTTTCACCGCCTGCTGTGCAAGCGCGAGGACCCAAGTTCGATCCCCGATACCAAAAAAAAAAAAATTCTTCATGCATTTCTGCAGTGAATTTAGTTCCTGTTTATCTTGTTTGAACCATATTTTTAATGGAATATTTAAGCAGATGAATAAGGGCAGTGTTTACAACCTAGCCCACAGTCTATCCCTTCCAGTTTGTTGTGGGCACTGGTAGAAAATGTTGGTTATATTGCAGAAGGAGCTCATCCACTAATCCTTTCTCCTACTTCGGTGCCTCCAGGGAGTCTACTTTCAGCAACTGGCTCTGCAGGGGAGACTGACGTCATTTTCCCAACGGCTGTGTTCAAAACCACCCAAAGGTACCTGTCTTCTCTCCACTGTCGTTAGCAGCATAGCCTCCTTGGAGTGTTTCCCATAGTGATAACCAGTGGACAAGCCACATGACATATAGGATGACCCTTTTTTCTAGTTTTCCTATTGTGCTAAACTATAGCACACTTGCCATCCTTTTACCATTTTGATCTCTCACTGAGGCTGACGAGAGATACACTTTCAGAAGGAAAATGGCTAGTGAGTCTTTTGGAAAATAGGGGAGCAAACCTTTGTTTCTGTATATCTGATTCTAAGGACCAGCCAAGCGTCATGTTTGAAAAGTAAAACAGAGATAATGTGCAGACTGTAGTTAGCTTGGAGAACAATTGTCCGTTTGAATGAAGCCCTTCAGCATAGGCCATGGGACTGAGCCTACTACTCTGTGTGTAGGGACAGTGCTTACAGAACTACCTGGAGAACTGTGTCTCCACGTAGTAGAAGACACTCCTCAGCCCTTATCCCAATATTGGGACCTGGGGTTGCTTGTTTTTTTTTTTTTTTTTGGTGGGGGGGATTGAACTTGGGTCCTTGTGCTTGCGCAGC